TGTCTTCGTCACACTGGCCCTCGCTGCCGTACGACTAATAGGAACAGGACGAGTCAGACGCTTACTTAATTGTGCTTCAAGGTGACTTGGTAGACGTTGGTGCTTCTGTGTGTGTGTGTTGGGGAGTACAGATGGATGCTTCTCGGCGAATGAAGTAAACTCTGTGGAACGTAAGTAGACAAGGCCAAATGGGCTGGAATTGGCTCTAATAGCTTACCGGGCCTTTGTGGGTCCTGTCTGCCAAGCCCTTTACATTCAGATAATCAAAGCCTCCCTGGAGCGGAAAAGTGAAAAAGCAAACATTTACAGTAAATAGCTTCCAACGCCAAACTTTAAAGCTTTAAATAAATGTAGTATGTATGTGTGTGTTTTGGAAATAATTATTTTTTACCTAATCTCTCTAACACAGAGAAATAAACCAGCAGGTGTCGGTGACTATGAACTCTATAGGGGTTTATAAGGTTTCAGGCTAGGGTTAATAACATGATAAATGTGCCTGGAACACTATACATTTCACATTTTAAAAATGCACTCATGGAAGAACTAACACTTTTTTCTGAGTGTATGCCCAAGATGTGTGTCTACGTGTGTGTCGGTGCGTGTGTGCGTGTGTGTGCTCGTGCCCCATGATGGCAGCCATTAGACAGGAGTAAGGCAGCCATGATGAATCGGCACTTAGCCTAGGGAAGCGCACTTGCTCAATGGGCTGTGAATCTCCCGCTGCCACTGTCAGCCTGCAGAATGTTAAATAAAGTTATTTGAATGTTTGTAATATTAATGTGCCAGCATGTCAAAAGCCTGCTGAAGCCTAACAGTGAGAGAAAATATGAGAAGATTCATACTAGGACTAGAGGGCTGCTCCGGTAATTCACATCTTTGCAAAAACCAATAGCTGAAACAAAGCTCCACCCATTCCAATGCTGTTACTATCCTCTGTCCCTATCCCAGTCTCCAAGTTCATGCAATAGAGAAGACGGTGAGCAGCTATGATCTTTGTAGGAATGGCCCACTGAGATATGAAAAAAAAAAAAAAAAGAAGAGAAGCAATAAGTTTTCAGCATAGTTAACCAATTACAAAAGAAGACAAAATATAAAAGAGGGCCTCATAAAATAAGACTCCAGCATTATAGACTCCAGGCAGGCATTGATCAGCGCATAGAACATTTCGTTTCCCAAAGGAAAAAGTGCGAAATGAAGAACAGGCACTCCAAAGTTTTGAATTGCTTTTCATAGTATGGCATTTAGCCCGGTTTACTCTGAAGGAGTGTGTGCCACATCATTCACTTTCAAGAGTTTAAACGTCAGAATAATTAGTTTACCAGGGAGTTTTAATCACTCCATATATGAGTATACAAGGAACATTAAAATGATCAATGATTATATCAGATTATAAAAAAAAAGAAAAGATAACACAGAGACGGGTGTGACGCAAACCTACTAAAAAAGGTGATTCTATCAATCACTCAGCTGGAAATAATGACAACGACCATGAGAGGGTCCAGTAGAACCATCAAATCAGTCTCTCTTAAGACTCTTGAGATGATCAGGACACACACGTGCGCACACACACACAAACACACACACGCACACGCAAGACAAGCTTTACGTTGTTAGTGGAGGTAGTGGGGTGCTATTTGGAGCGTCTCTGCTCGATTTAACAGGGAGGTGATAAAATATTTAGCAGATTGCTTACATAGGCAACGGGTAGAGAGAGGGAGAAAGGGAAAAAGAGAGAGGAAGAGAGAAGGGGGGGGGGATACCCAAATGGCTTGTGTGGGAGCTGGGGAGCTGGTAATGAGGATGGCATGCTGGTATCATCGTTACAGAGCACAACAACTCAACATGGTCTCTCTGCCCAGCTGACAGCAGGCCACACACACACACACACACGCACACACACACACACACTACTACCTGCCACTAATTAAAACATATAGATTAGAGAAAGTACAGTCAGGTAGAGGGAGGCTCACGCACACACACACACCACACACACTGATCCAACACACATACAAACACAGTTTTAACAAACATAAACCTTTTGCAATTAGGGTAATTTTCTCTGTCATAACAAATGACTCAATATGTAAACAAATAAAGAATTATTAATGTGTCGCTTGAAAGCAACATTTGTAATCTTTCACAGCAGCTGCTTTTCACTATGGAGAAAATGAACGTATCAAAAACTATGGATTTGTGATTGAACATTTAGCGACTGGATGTTTTGTTACGAGTACGGTAGACTGAATGTGTGTTTCGTTTTGACATCAAAAGGTTAATATACTTTACACCTAATATTGTCCTTAGCCAGTTTGATATCAAGCAACGCTGATTATTTCCAATATTCTACAAAGCGGGTGTTGAGTAGGCTCAGATTCTACGCTCTATTTTCCCTATAATATTTTCAGACAATATTGTTAAACAATAGATTGTTGAGCCTTGCTCAAAACAAAGCAATTTATTTCCATGTTTGATTCCCCCCTGTGCTTTTAAGCACCACAGTGCCTTCCCTTTCCCATGTTATATATTTCCTTCTCATGTTGCTCTCAATGAGGGAAATCATTTCAGCGTGATCTCATATTCGTTTTGTTCTTGTTCCTGTTACTTCATCTCTAATGGGCAATTACTTCAGACCCAATGTTGAGGCCATGTTATTGCACCAACCCCCAATTGATTGGTTGCCTGTAGTACTCAGCTTCCGCAAGCACTTTAAGGTTAGAATTCCCTGTTTAAATAATGAATTACAAGACCACGAAGAGAGACTTTGTGGAAAATAAAAGGTTGAGATTGCTCTTATTGGAGGGGCCTCTCAGAAGAGATGAGAAGGGAACAGATTCAAAAAGAGTCTCCAGAGACTATGCTAGCTATGAGAGGTAGAAATGCAACATCATCCGTTTCTCTCCTTCAGTCCAACTCTTTTTCTCTCTTGTGTGTGTCCTGAGGTTTAAGGTCAACCCACACAACACTGTACAGGTTTATACTACTACAGTCTACTACAGCTACGCACTAACAACTCCCTCACTCCACAGGCTGTTGCTTACACCTCCCATAATGCTGCGTTTCCATCAGAGAGAGAGACATGTCAAACTGAACACAGCAGGAAGTCTACTTGCTGTGGGTACTTAAGAGAAGGGAAGCAGGGGGATTGTGGGAATTAGTGGAAATATACATCTCCTCCTCTGTTCAAAGAGTCTTTGTAGTGCGGTGACTACCTGGGGACTGTGTATGTGTTGGAGCCCATGTGTGTTGTTGGTGTTCACAGCAGTGCCAAAGCCCCCACTAACATAAAGCCTCCTACCATCACCGGAGGATAACTTAGGCTCCAATGACTGTGCTGTGAGTGTGTATGGTTGAGGTAATAATAGAGTAATGTAATAATGGAAGGAAAAAAGGACATTTTGTGGAGAAGGTTTGTTTGCATTTGAGCATAGGGGAGGATATTTGGCTAATTTCTTTTAAAACTGCTGTACTGAACTTTGCCTCAAATATTTACCCTCCACACACTGCTTAAATATGCTCTGTCATATGTTTATAGATTACCTGATGTATAACTACAATAAAAACTAGGTTGAAAGGCCCAGATTTATTGAAAACAAGTAAAATGGAAGTCTTAAAAAAATACAATTAACTGCAGTCCCATTGGTCAGATGGCCACTTGAATTAATATTAAAAAAACATAAGAAGTAATTCTTTTTGATCTTGTTTTTTACTTAGTTTAAAACTTTCTATTGCAAATAGTGATGCTGTAGTTCGAATATCACACAGTTGGAACAAATATTTGCAGCAGGGAAACTAAAGTCTGCTATCTTTCACTTATTAGTTTGCAAATAATGCAGTGAAATATTTGTTCCATAGGTGTGGGTTAGAATATAAAGTTGCTTTTAAAATATGTAAATTAAATGTACCTTCCTCTGAAACAAAAGATGATAATCATCGAAAGTCATGTAAGACAAAATGACCTGTGAACAATGTAAAACACAGTTGTGATGAGATGAGATGGTAAAGTTAGATGTGAAATGAAAACTTCCAGTATATGAGCTAACGGAAGGCAACCAACCTTTACCTCGTCATTTTCATTTGGAAGTCATTCCACCTTAGCCACGGAGTGAGTGAGTGTGTGTGTGTGTGTTCTGCGTAGGACATAGAGCAATGCGAGAACTATCCAGTTAGCATGGTCCCACACAGTGTGCTTTGTAGATATGTGGCACTCTCATATCTGTTTTTTTGATCGGAGCAGATGTGCGTCAATCAATCTTATCTGGGCTCCACACACTCTCGAGCTAACCAGACATAGGCCAACCAATACTGCGCCATACTGAGAGCACTGAGCCACTCATATTATCATGAGACACCTTGAGCAAATTTTCTCTTTGTGTGTGTGTGTGTGTGTGTGTTTGAATAACACGGTGCAGAGCGTAAAAAGGTGCATTAGAGCACAGACAGAATAAGAGAGAGAGAAAGTGACAGCTTGAACTGAAAACCCAGATTAACCTCGTCTTTATGTGTGCGCCATTATCTATTCCTTAGAACTTAGTCTTCCGCACATCATGCTGAGGCAGAATCAAACCTCTCGCCATCTGTAACGTAGGCTGCTGCACAGAAGGCTGGCATGCGCTACAGATTAAGAATCAATGCTAATGTGCCTTTCGAGTACGCCGGAGGTGGATGTGATCAAGGAAGAAGTATGGCACATCATGCTCAGCAAAATGCATGAAACAAAATCAATTCAAACATCCCAATGATGCGAAGAAACCTGTGATCCAAGGTACGCTGACGCCTTGTTATATGAAAGACTAAAATAGCACAATTTCCTGTCACCTTTCTTCAATGAAGTGATTTGTTCTAGTATGAGTAGTCCCTCATTTAAAAAGCAAAAAAGAGAGAATGATAAAAAGTGAAGAATTTAAAATCACGGTGCTTGCGTCTATCAGAGGTGACACTCTCAAATAGCAACTAAAGGACGTTAATGACAAATGTATGTAGTTCTACTTATTGCTTACCTCGACATACGTTGCCATTGTCAGGTTCAAATCCAGCCTTGCATGTGCAGCTACCGATAGGAACCATCCACTCTCCGTCTCCATTGCAGTACAGCTTTATGGGGACATCTACTTCCTCCGAGTTGGGAATGCAGATTCCTCTTGCAATTACCAGGGAGGTGCTCTCAGCCCCCGTCATTGTCTCTGGAAAGATTGCAAAGTTCTGGACCACACTCGGGCACTTCTTATAAAACACCCTGACTGACAATAGAGACATGCAGGCGCCATAGTCCTGAAACGCCAGGTAGAAGCCATTTCTAGACAATGGACCAAAGCTCCGCACTTCTGTGTTGACCTTCATCAGGCGTCCGCCAAAGTCCACCTGCGAGAAGCTTTCATCCGCAGCAATGGTGTCCACCTTGAGGTAAGGGGCCTCCATCCAGAAGGCGGTGCCTTTAGTGGCAATGACAGCGTCCGTTTCATAGTAATAGAGATTAAACGTCTCCTTGCACGAGCCGGGGACGTTGGGGATGGAGCTGCAGTCGCGCACGGTGAATCGGATCTCCACGTAGATGCGCTGCGATCCACGCCGGTCGATGAAGGTGGTGAGGAGCCAGTTGTTTTGACTGGGCTCGAAGACATTACACACCTGGTAGGTCCTGATTGTGTTCAGGTTTTCATCATAGCCACTCACCTCCTCCCACTAAAGAAAGAGAAGGAGAGAGAAGAGTGCACATGGTTGATTAGTAATCAGTGGTGGTAAGGCTGTGGTGTTTTCTCATTTTTTGATAGGGAATGCTAATATTGGCTGAGCCACAGATCATTTGTACATATAACAGTAATCTCCCTAAGGCACTAACTTTGAGTCTACTTCCTGGATTAACAGAAGGGAATCAGCTGTGTCGAGCTGTGGGGTTTATTCAGCCATACACACATCCTTCTTTTTTGGAATTATAAACAATTCTTGAAGTGCAGCAACAACAAAAACATCACATCTTGTTCTCTAAATACGCTCAACTGCTGCAGTATGTGTACTACCACCGTGTAAACCCCGTAATTAATTTGGTTGTGCTGCCATTTGCCATCGAGGCCGAAATAGGCTAGGCAACCACAGTTGATGCGTTATTAACCACAGTTGATGCGTTACAAAATATGGTTTGTAACTAATTCAAGATTATGCACTATTGAATTACAATTAGAACGATGGGGACTGATACTGGTAGCCACGAGCCGGTCTGATGGAAAGGCATTTGCCTGCAGACCGAACTGAAATACACTGCAGGCCATTTCTTGCAGGTGTGACCCAGAAAGTATGTTGGATGTGAATCAGAGGCTCCTTGGGGTATTAACTCAGTGCACACAATCATGATGAAAATGTGCCATTACCATTTGGCTGGAATCACTGTGAATCGGAAAGACAAATTACTGAAATTAAAAGACGGTTACCTAGAAGCTTGCTTTCAGATAAACATTTTTTGAATAACTGTCCAGCTGCTCAAAAGTTGGTCAGGCTCAAATTTGTAGAGGCAGACAGTCTAATATATTCTTAATGTGATATTTTAATTTGTAAAGCTATTTTAATGTGTGATGTGTGTGCTACACTTTGGCATACAGCTGTAGAGCAGGCATGAGGAAAGAAATACAAAAGCAGACAGTCACATAAAAGCCACACTGACTTGAAATGAATATTTTGTGGAGCAGAGAGTGATTTGAAAGTTTTTTTTTTACATTTTCTCCTCAAATCACTTCCACTGTCTGTAATAACACCATTCATTTTACTCCTATAACAGCTTAGCACACAGATTTATTCCTCCGACCCCACCAATGCTGCAAACCGCTGTAGGCCAGGAGGAGTTAATGAGGTCTATAGAGCATCCAGGTAGTTCATGCTTCTTGTGAGCATTATATTTCGTGTTGCTTCCTCCTTCTTCTGACCTTTAAAGCCTCAGCTGCCCAATCAGACCTAATGGAGAGGTGAACACATCAACTCTCCGCATACAGCCCCGACAACCGGTCAAACCATGGAAAGGCTTCTTCAGAAAATCTTGACAGATGAGTCAATAAAACAACACGTGAGACGAGAAACAGGGGATAGTGGGCCGTCAAATTCAGGGTTGGAAAATAAACCGAAACAATTAAGATCATAAAACTATTTGGCCCGAGGAATACGTGGCAATGTCTGGAGGAAAAAAAACAAGAAGGTTTGGGTCAGGTGGGGGGCAGGGAGAAGACGAGTGGAGAACAGTGACACCGCTGACATGATAAACGAGTTTACAGGAATCTGAGGTGCAAATTAAAGCCTTTTTTCACCGCTGCTCCCTCAGTGCCCACTCTATTGCACTCTCCTCACCCTCTCCTCTCTTCCCCTTCTGTTCTCTTCCCTCGTCTCTGCTCTGTAATGACCATTCATCAAGATTACAGGAACCTGTCCCTTTCAGCACTGCCTGTTCATTAATACAGCTAGCCCTAGGCTCCTCTGCACCCGTCCGCTCCAGTCTAGGAGGGGCTCCTCACCGCCCCTCGTCTAGCCAAATGACCACCATCTTTCACGCCAAAGAGATGCCCAAGGCATCTCCGATAATGCCCGTCTGAAATCTGTCCAGATATTCATTGACCCATATAATAATGAGCTTTATTTCCTCCTTGGTAGATATTCGGTGTCACCATTGTGTCAAAGAGAAAGAAAACTATTACAGGTGCATCAGTTACTTAGCAGAAATCAAACTTCCGCATCCCTCCGGCGCTTTGTATGCAGCTGCTATTTACGCTTGTGTGCGTGCACTCAGGGATCGTGCTGTTCATAATTTGATGGTTTACCGACCACATATTGATTTGCTGGCCGTTGTTTTGCTGCTGAAGGCAACGCAACACATTTCTGCTTCTGTAGGTCCAAAACATTTGATTACTCTGAGTATTAACATCAGTGTGAATTCTTAAGCAATTGTTAGCATTCCTCCTGTTTTAACAACATTGAAATGCGTGTGACACATGCATTTAAATAGCAAGGACACTATCCATGAAAGCAGCAACACGCCCTGCAGTCACATCAATACTGCCTAGGTTTCCTATTTCTATTTCTTTGCTTTTCCTTTTACATCATTTAAATCAAATCTTTTTCCAGCACTTCTCCATGACATCTCTCTGACCTTGCCAAAGGAGAGGGAGAAGAGAAGGCAGCATCACCCGTCACCTTACTGATAATGGAATTCCCTGATCCTTGCATCTATTTGCTCTTCAAGGATTTGTGTTTAATATGACACTGTTAGTCCTGCACTGCGTATATTTAGTCCATGCAATGTGGACATAAGCGCAGATGTATGTTCGAGCCATGTATTATTCATATCGGCTCAAGATGAACAAGGTGTGGAAGACTGGAGACTGGAGTGTGATCTCTATGTTCCAGAGTCCTCGTTTGTACTACTCCAACACATGTTCTCCCTGCTGTAGATGTCGTTTAAGTTCAGGTGATAAGAGATAATGGTCTCTGACAGGGAAGACACCATAGAGCAGTAGCGGATGTGGATCGCATCTTAATGAAATTGAAATAAAAAACTAAATGAATACAGTTGGTAGAGAGATGAGACAGATCAACATCACTTTCGAGAGTCTTTTATGTGCCTTTATAAAGTCAGCTCTCTCCTAATCAGTTTAACTGTACACATTTCTGCATCGCTGTGTATATTTTATCATTACCGATCTCACTGAACACAAACTTTCTTGCTGATGAATGACCAGACAAAAATTCAAAGCCTCTTTACACAACACTTATTTTTACGCCAACCAAATGTACCCATTGGCTCCACTCTAATAGCTTTACATTTGCCAGTAATATAGGAGACTCTCTTCCCCTGATTGTCAAGTGTGGCCATTGTGTGTGTCATTATGGCTTCACTGTTTGATGGGCAGTAGCGAGGAGATGGAGGAGCTATGGATTCACGGAGCGCTTAATGTTCGTTTTAATGACCAGTCACAGCTAGCTGAGCTAGAAGCTGAGCGAGAAGAGGAAAGAAAAGGACAGAGTGATGGATAAAAGAAAAACACAAGGAATCAAGTAGAATGGGGGTAATATATTCAGGCTGATGTTCCCCTTCGCACAGCCTCAGCTCGCTGCCATCAAGCCATCAATACTCTGCCCTCATAAAGGCCATTCATCACATTGATCTCCTGCCATTACCTTCAAAGGCTAAAATAACACAGAGCAGCTCAGATGGCCAAAGTCTTGCTCTACCACAGGACCACAGCATCCAACATTGAGCTCACGTAGGGCTGAGGGTAACCTATCAGAACCTGGATGTAACACCTGTGGACAATAATAGGAGAAATAGACTGGACTAATGAGTTATTTAGCAGGCATGGTGGCAACAGCACAGGAGCCACCGCACACATGCTGTAAGATTCCAGTCAAGCTTGATACAGATATAACAAAAGCTATGGAGAAGAGGTCTGGCCTGAGAATAGTACAAAAGGTTATATAGCCCATTACACCAGGTTCATCTTTTGTTTTAGAAAAACAGACATTTTCAGAAACCTTTTTAGGACCTCAGAATTTTTACTTGATTTTCAACTCAAGGAACCTAGATCCTAATGTAGTTATTGAGCCATACTTCCTATCCCCCAAAAGTCCCTGCTCTGGGGATTTTGCAGAGCTGACCATTGCAAACACAACTACATGGCTGCCAGTGGTATCAATGTTTCAATGCTGTCACTATTTGGCAGACTCTATTAAGTGTTGAACCTTTTTGCCAGTGGTTGCCACAAAATGAAATCCAGGAATAAAGTAAGAGCAATAGGACTTCTGTCCTGATGTACTGTAACTCTACACTTAATCATACAAACTTGCCAAAACACTTGGCAGCCAATAGGTCTGGTTGTGGCTCAGGCTGAACATACTCAAAGATGGTTCTTGACTTCTTTAAGCTCATAACTTAATGGTAGTCAATTTACACGAGATGGAGAAAGAGAAGCATCTACTGGGCTGATCTTTAACCTCCAGACTATGGTCTGATTCTGAGTCCCACTAACTCACTGCTTTTAAAATCCATCAGCACCAGTTAATACTACATGCTCAGAGATACTGAACACAGATGGATGACGAGCAGCTCAGAGCATTTCCACATTAAAAGCTCCTCTGCCTAGAAAGGTCTACAAAATGCCATCGTAAATAGCAGATGATCGCCTGGAAATTGGTTCTTGAACGGCCAGCAAAACTTCAATTATTCAGTCTGATGATGGGCTTTTACAGCAGGACCCAAGGCAAAAGGTGTACTTAACAGTGGACAGCAATGGCCAAATGTAACTGCTCCACCATCATCATGTTCCCCTCAACTTTGTGCCAGACTACGCTCTGCTGGTGCAGTTTACAACTGAATGATTTGTTCCCTTTTCAGTTAAAGCACTCAACTTTGAGCTTATAGCCTTCAAAAGGTTGCTTCTTTTTTGGGGGGGAGAATCCCCAAAGAATTCCAGGACTAGATTGTGTTTATATAGTTTTTCTGCCAACAGTACTATAGCTGTAATAAAATGGCTGGCACATTTGTGAACACTTTCTACCCAAGACTTGTCTGTTCGTCTATCAATGCAGGACTAAAACATGTGGGTGGAGGCAAGCAGGAGATTGCTTTTCATACTACAAGCTTAGGATGAATATTTCAATAATGAAGCTATTTGTTATTCATGGCAACACAACATTGTACCATGGCAAGG